CCCTTTATTATTCAAATAAGATTTAACAGAAATCCGTCTTGGGAGTTGTACAATAAGGCTGACACTCGGATTCAAACTTAAGAGACTAAAAATTAAACTAAACTAAACTAAACTAAAAAAGATATAGCTGAAGCTATCAAAAATCTAACAGAGTTGGCCCCTTAACGCTAATTGGTTGTGAAGCTATCAAGGGTCTAAGGTACAGCCGAGCGTAATAATAGCTTATGAGAGAGTAGCCGAAAAAGGCAGACAGGTGCTAGCCAGAATATCTGGTATCTCTCTCACTAAGACAGTAGAACTTCGCAGTTAAATACCGCTCTTCCTCATTACCATTCAGACGTGATTCTGAAACTACGTTCTGGCTGGAAGTGGTAAGTTGAAATTAAGAAGCGATAGGAAAGGGACTCAAAATGTAACTGTTAATAAAATTAATATAATCCTTATAAGGCACTATGCAGTCGAATTTAGGATCCACAGAGATTTTTCATCAGATGGGAAAATGCCTAGTGTATGATGCATTAAGACATATTAGATGGATCTTTTAAATTTAAGTTTTCAATTTCTTTATTAATAAAAAATCCCTTTCTATAATGCCTACCCAAGTGATAAGATTAGAAGCATTTTTGGTATTTTCCATGCTTGTGTCTAGTGAAAAGTAGAGAAAATATAGGGAAGATAAACATGTTAAGAAAAAGATTCTAGTATCAGGAATAAAAACATTCAAATATTATGTCTTCATTGTTCTTCCAGACATTCTCCAAAAAGTAAGAAATTCATCACAAACTTTCTATAAAATATATCCATTACGCACTGATACCATGGAGACATTTTTCATTTTGTCACATATTTCTCGAATCTTCTAGAATCTGGGGTCTATAAATCTTGCCTTCAAATCCTTCTAAACTTTCCAAGCTGCAATGTCAAAAATACTAAAGAAAAATTATCCCAACCAATTCTGTAATAGCAAAAAGCCAGAAATATTTTGAAAAAAAAGAAAGGAGGGAAAAAGTGTAAAATTAATTTTATAGAGAAAACTGATGCATATTCTGTGAATTTTTAATATTTTGAGACAATTACATGGAAAAAATGCTTACTATGAAAAAATTAAAAAGAAGACTTTTTAATTAATTACATAGCTAATTTTGCTTTTGCTAAGAGCTGTTTCGTAAATTATGCTTTATAGCATACAACCTTGTTTATTTTTCAGATTCAAAATATTGTATAATAAAAGTTGCCAAAATGAAACTTTATAATATTACAGCAAAAAATAAAAATGTTTTATTTTAATGTTATTTTTTAAATACAATTCCAATATATTACCATTATTTTAATGAAATTTATCAATGTTATGATATTTAAAAAAAAATCGTCGAAAAATTCTCATATTTCGGAATTAAAAATTTTCTATAGGAACTGACCTTAAAATCGCGAAATTTAAGTTTAATAAAAGAATTCACATCCCCAAAAGCGAAAATTGTTTAAGACTCTTTATTACAAAAAATTAATTTCGAAATGCTTATGTTTCACTTCTTGCTTAGAAACTCGAGTATCCCATCATTTATATTAGAAATAGAAACAAATTATAACCCATGAAACCATTCAAAAGATAACACATACGTCAGTGAATCGCCAAAAATATTCCTCCAAAATGCTAATTCACACTCAAAATGGCAGTCGTAAAAACAGACAGAAATTTCAGATGATTAAAATTAAGGACCTTCTGCTGATTTGGGCTAAAATTAAGGGCTTTTAAGGACCAAAAATCGATTCCAAAAAACTTAAGGTTTTTTAAGGACCGTACGAGCCCTGTACAAGTCTGTGCGAGAATTTGCAAGGATCACACTTTGGATCTAGTCACATTTGATAGCTACAAAAAATAGATCTTAAAACCTTAAAGAATGAAAAACTGGGTCATTTTCACCTGACTGGTTTGCACCTGAAAGCCGCAACCGGGAGGCTTTCATGCAGTGTGATGATGCAATTTCAAGAGACTTTGAGAGAGATTGACTTTTAGTTTCATGTTTTGTCTTACAAGGATTCACTGAACTCTCAATTCTTCTGAAACGAATATATATATATGAATCAGTTCATCAAAAATTAACATTAAGAATCAAATCCATTTTTTAAAAATTATTTTCAGAATCATAACAGGACTTCATTTCCATTTTACTGTAAATGTTTTGTGGAAGTTAGTAGACCATGAGACATTCATTAGTACATATTAGATATTCATTAGTATATATTAATTCGTATTTTACTATTATGATACTTTCAGTCTCTCGCAGAATTTCTTGCATGTGATTTGATTAGATAAACGTAACTACTTTAAACATCACCATTATCAAATTAGAATGCAGGACACATAAAATTTTAAATACATACTCAACTAGTCTACTGAAGAGACTGTCATCATTCTAATCGCTAAATTTGTTTATTCCATCCAGCAATTTAATAGTATCATTTATATTAAATCTTATAAAATGTAAATGATCTACTAGAATTCAGTTTAAGCAAGCACAAAAACATTTAAATAAAATATACATTCTTATATCCAAAAATTTAAATCCTACATAAAATTAGGCAAAGCAACAACCCTGTGTTTAGCTAAGATTTTAATTAGAACTATTGATTTTAATGGCAAACAGGTAGAGATTCCTCTTTATTGCAAGCAAAGAAGGGAACTCTAATGAAGAGGGAGCTTTACCTGTTTGCCCTAAAAATCACAATTTACAATTCATGATTTGGAAAAGTGTTTAAAGCCTGCCAAATTTTTCCACATAGAATTATACTGACAGGGAATCATCAGTAACACTTTTTATGTACCTACACAAATCCATTTAAATTTTAACATGGCCAAGCTCTTTTGCCTAAAAATTACTTTCCACATTCCTGGTAACTTATTGCTGATAGCCCATCAAACTCCCTCTAGTGATTCTCTCCCCCAATACCCTTTCACCTAAATCACTTTTAACTCTCAAACTTTGTCAAGTCATTGCTCCAAGAGCACACCTTCCAGTTCACGACTTCTCTGCATGGTTCTGGAGTTTCAGATTTCTACAAGACCTTTGAATAAAATATTATACATCACCGGTTCTCAAACTGTGATACATGTACAACTGGTGGTACATTACAATATTTTTAGTGATACAAATTTGACGGCAAAAAATTAAATGAATGTAAAATTGTGGCACTTTTAACATTTTGATTTAATCTTTATTATTCAGAAACACATATAACTTTAACATATATATATTTGACTTTTACAGCTCTAACTTTACTGTTGAAATGATGACTTTTCCTATAGCTTTGAACAATTTCCCAATGTTATGATTCCAAGAATTGTAGCGGCACTCCAGTTTGGTATCTTTTGCTTCGCTAGCTAAATGTAGTTCAGACTAGCATTGCATTGTTGTGTTATTAATTAAAAATAAATCTAGGACACAGTTGCATCTTGAACTTGACTTGGGCTTGAAATTAATAAAGATGAAGCCCAGCATATCTAAATTGGTTTCAATAAAACAGGCTCATTCGTCGTATTAATCCTCATCATTAATTAATCTTACAGTGCTACAAAGCAAACATAATACCTCACATTTTTTTGAACTAATGGCAGTGATAATTTGGTATACAGTACATGTTTTTGACATTTAGTTTGTCTATTTGACAGTGGTTTTATATGATTAAATTTCCACCTTTTTTTTAACGTTTAGGATTCGGTTGTATACACTTGTTAATAATACAAGTAGTGCTATAGTTAAATAACACTGTTAAAGTGTGCTATAGCATTTTATATTCTTGGCTTATTTTAATAATTTATTTTACAACACAACTACAAAACTTGGTAAGTACATTTAATCACGTGCCTCAATTAAATGAAAACTAATTTCACAACATTCACAATTTTTTGAAACCTTGCAGTATCTAAATTGTCAGAACGACAAAATGTATATATATATATTTTAAAAGTATCTTGTCAGTGGCTCTGTGACTTGGGTGTCTTTTTTTGCTTTGTACGACTATATTATGTGCTTAATATATGTATTATTACTCACTATTTACCACAATTGTTATATATACTTATTTATATTTTATTGTAAAAGTTTCATTTACGAGTATAATTATATAGTATAAATTTAAAGAGTTTCATTCTTTGATTATTAACTCTCCACTTAGGATGCATTGATTTTTAATGGCAAAATGCTTTCATGGTGGTACATATATTTTTGTTTCATATTTATGTGGTACAAAATTTTAAAAGTTCGAGAAACCCTGTTCTACATAATGATAATGCATAACTAACAGAATTCTACATCAGATTATGTATTTATGATTACTAATAAAGATGTGTAATAGTCTAAAATTTTAAGTCATTTGGTAACTACCTATTTAAAGCATTTGTACAGCTTTATGAAATTAATTAGGATTACATGATTGCTTATTTAAGTCACTTATTCACAATATATGCATTATATTTTAATGATGAGTACTTTGAAAATAAAAATATTTTATTGAGGCAAAAATTCCAAGATTTTGCAATTTAAGCGATATTTTTAGAATCAAGACACTTTAAACTTCCGTTTCTGATGAGTTTTCTATGATAAATTTGAATAGTTTTCAATTCTGGATAATTTCTAATACAGCTGAATTCATCACAAGTTATGATTTGAATTTAATATATAACCATTATTATTAAAAACCATTAATTCATTATAATGAATTTAATATTAGCTTAAAACGAAAATACTTCACTATCAAAAATGCTGTAGTAACCTACTGGTAACTCCAATTAACTTAGCTTGAAAAGACTACAGTTTTACACAACTTACTTCAGGGATACAGAATGATAATGATTGAAAAGGATAAATGCAAATTAGATTTAAGATTTGATTTAAAACTAAATTTTAATTGAAGTATATTTTTTATTGGTCTATCTGCTTTTAACAAAGATTGGGTTTTAATAAATGGCAAGCCCACAAAAACTATAAACTTGGAAGGCCATCTTCATGAAATGTTCTTTATTGACAACTGACTCATCTTCTCATCATATGTGCGAAAAATGATACATCCATTACTATTCTTTTCATCATACATGTAGAGAGATGGAAAATCCTAAACAGTGAGCCTTTTGGTTAACAAGCTAATTTACATGAAAATATACAAAATTTTCCAAAGCAAGGACTTTTTAAAGATATTACTGCTTTAAAATACAGGTTTATGAAAATAAATTTTCAGAATTGTAATTAGTTATTCAGAGTTTTAAACAAAACCACAGTATTCATACAATATTTAAAGAAGGAAAAAAAAAAAAAAAAAAAAAGGGTCAGTGAGTGACTAAACTGTACTATTCAAAAAATGTTACAGGTGCACTAATCAAATAGTTCATTTCTCTCTCTCTCAACAACAATGTAAAATAATCATTCCCGAAGTGTTACTTTGCACTAATTGCATTTGACATTAAAGATTTGAATGAAAAATAGACAAGTGTCCTGCTACTGCATAAAATTAAGCCTTTTTTTTAAACATCTAGGAGTTGATTCATGAAGATATTATCACTTACTGAACCATAAGGGGTAGATACTTTTTGTTATCATTTATAACCTAAAATTGCTTATAACATGTAAATACACAAATATCGAAAGATTAAAATAGTGCATACACAATAAATAAAAGTGGGAAACTTTAACTAATAATTACAGATATCAATATAAGCTATAAATGTAAACATAGAGGTAGGCGTTAAAGAATTAAAAAGTGAAAGAATGAAGGAGTAGACACAGAAACTTATAATCAAATTATAATTAACGCATCTGACATCTAGGGCCAAGATCAGGAGCACAGCGGGGAAACTGAGGAAAAGACACTCCTCACTAGGTCACAAAGGGAAAGGAAATGCCATTTTGGATGAAAGGACTACATGACTAAATTTCTTTCCATTAACTTTGTTAACTTTTTCTAGCAATCTCTGTATTCTTCTTAATGACACTTTAACTATTTTACCTTTTTTAATTGGTGTGCTAGAGAAAGAATGGTATCTGTTTTTGACATCTTTAGAAAAAATAGTGTACAGTACTGTATATTCAGGGCTTAAATTCAGACAGAGGCTGGCTGAGTTAATTCTTAGTTCTTATGAAATTGGAATTCCAGCTGCAACCCTAGGATTAATAACTTATTAAATTTTTATTCATTGAATTTCAATAGTTTTTTTTTTTTTTAACTTTTATTATGACTGCCTTCTATAAGGTTTTGGCACTACTGATTTTAGGAATTCAGCCCAGCATAGAGACCAATAATGGTGAAACAAAATTTTGAATTATTAAATCACATATTTCATCACTTAAAAACCACTTTATGTCATGGCATATTCTTCCAGCTAAAGTATTTTTCTTGCAGCAATAATTTTAATAATAATGAAATATTTATCATAGTATAAAAATAGTTATTACTGTGCACTATAAAATGATATATATAGCAAAATTAAGCTTTGACATCAATTGCTTCTTCAGCAATACACAAATAAATGTACACAATAAAGAATAGTTAATTACAAATGATGACATGCATGAGGGTCAGATAAGACTTGTTGAAGGAGCTTGCTTTTGCCTGGTCATACTGGATGTGAGAATCCATCAAACCTTGAGAGCAATCAGAATTGCACATCTGTCTATGCTCATATTCGCACCTGCCATAGTTGAACAATACATCATGGTATATTAACCTTTTTCTGAACATTTACTGGGATTTAGAATTTAATTCTACCTCATCCTGTTCTTTCTGTATGTATATAATCAAGTGTATTTTGTCCCTTTAATGAATATGAAAGTCTTTCCTTACTAGTCATGGAATAAAGTTAAATTTAAAATTAAATACTTTTAAATTATATATTATCAGCATATGTTCTTGAACACATTTTACATCACACACATTAATTCAACTGAGAATGCACTAAATAAACAAATGACCATTAAATTAACATTAAATCTATTAATTTAATGTGTTTTGAATTCATTTAATAGCTTCAGCAAAAATCCCAACTCTGTAATCAGAGTGAACATAAATTTATGCCATAGCCTTCATTTAAGAATTTAAAAACGCTTCTGTTTAATCACAATTCTAACAGAATATATTTTACAAAATTCTTTCACTACACTCACACAATTGTGTACTATCCTATACACAGATAAAGATTCATTTCATGAACTGCAAATTAAATAACTAAACATATTATTCCTACTTAATATGAAGTCATAAGTAATCGAAACACTTAAGGCAAAAAGAAATTCCATGTTTTGATTTCCACACTGCTATTCATGAAAGTCTGAATAAAAATAACAATACATAATTAATGTGTAGTTCCATTTTAATATATAATAATAACTAACACATTGACTTCAATTTAAGAAAATTAATAAATTACATTTAAAATAAGCAATAACAATAAAATAAAATCACAGTGTCAATAGCCTCACGTGATTCCATTTAAATAGTTTGTTTAAATAAAAAGTAATGATTAATTCAGTTTAAGATAATTTATTAAGCATTTAAACAATCAAAGAACCAAACATGATTAACAAAAAATATATCTGAATAAAAACTTTCACAAATTTATTTTAAAGTAAAAGCATACTTTGTTTAAACATGCATAAATAATAAGCTCGTATGTTAACTGGAATGTAAAAATCTAATTCAATTATAAATTCACCGATTTAAAGAGAAAAATGTTAAAATTCACTTCTGAAACCCACCAACCACATGAATTCTCTCCTGAAAATAAGTTTGATTTATTAACACTTTATAGATGCATTAATTTTTTTGTCACTTTAAATCTTTGGGCTATCTAATAAAAGTATATATCAACACATCATATGAGTTAAATGATCAAACACACACACACACACACACAAAAAAGAACCACTCTCTTTCAAGATATACTGCTTACCATACACAGTACAAGCCCTATAGCATAACTTACTTTGTTGCATTACAATAAACTAATATAAAACATATTAAAGAGCAAGTTTGCACTTTCTAGATAACAGCAGTAAGATGAGCTACCTTTATTTCAGTGAAGACTTCAGCATGACATCTTTAATGTGTTTTTATAAGGTATAGAGTTATAGCCGCTGAGATTAAGTTATCTGAATATAGCAAATCACATTAGGGCTATCTGCCTAATAATGAGGGAGCCTCCACGCAGCCAGCTCACTTGCCTGGAATCAAACCAAGGTTAAACATTCCATATGAATGACCTTAACTACTCGGCCACTGGTGGAGTTAAATTACTAACAATAATATTCGTTAACCACTATATGGACCACTGTACTTTTGAAATAAGGAGAGGGAATTAACATTTCTTCTAATATTGCACATTCAGAATATGCTCCTCCATACATTAAATTAGACAGTTAATTTAACACTTGATCAACTAAGAATTTTAACAATATGGATTACAGAAAGTGGTATAAACATTCAGCAATTATTTAGAAAAATTACTGTGTTTGCACTGGTTTTCCCACAGGGATATTAAAATTACTTGCTCAAGCTCTAAAAGTCCTTTCACTGCCTATTTAAGTGCAGTATGATGCTCCAGTAAAAATTACTTATATACATTGCAAATTTGGGCAATTTCTTGGATTTTACTATTGTGTTTAAACAAAGATAAAAGAGATCCTTCATAAATACTTGACATACAAAAATGATGCTATCTCCAATTTTAATCAAATACCTGAGTTCGTTAAGTAAAAATACATAACATTAACTCCAGTCTGGTTTTAATTAATCTATTACAACTTAATACGCAACTATAAATAAAAATAAAATATTAATGTACATAGTCTTACCAACAATTAAGAAATAATTCATTAAGAATGCAATACACAAAAATTTATCAAGTAAAAATCTACTGTTTATCATTTAAATATACTAAAATTGACAAATACTATATATTCTCACATTTAAAGAACTCTTGCAGAAAACAACTTACAGATAATAAAATTCCGGCAGAAACTGTTCTCCATGAATTATACAAACTTATTACAGAAATACATTATTACATTTTTACTGAACACTGGATTGTTGAAGGATTACCTTGATCAGGAATAATAGATTGCTTTAAGATTTACACAGTTAAAAAAAACAGAATTCTTTTTATATTACAGACTTTCAGAAGGCATTATGATACCTGATTGCAGCAAAATATGTGCATATAAATTGTAAATGTTTAAGTAATGCATAAATTCCATTTGAATAACAAATGAAATGAATTTTATTAAAAATATTTGATTCTGATTTACTGATCAAAAGAATCACTACACATGACAAAAGTTTCACAAGAGCATTTTGGCACAGATTTTTTACAAGACATTAAATAAAAACTGAAACCACGAAATTTTTAAAAATAATTAAATGAAAAAGTTATCAACTAAGAAAGTTACCGAAAACATCAATTTTTAACATTTGTTGTGAAAAATTTACCTATAGTAAGAAACCAACACTTTGAGAAAAAATATGACTAATGGATGTTTGTAAGATACAATGAAGATGGAGTTTTACAATGTGGTTCTATCATGATAGTAGGCTTCAAGTTACAGAAAATAGTGCAACAGTAGCATGATGTATAAATATTTCATGTGCATTTTTGTTGTAACTATATAATGCACTTGCCACCATTAATATATTTTATAGTCCTCAATTATAAAACCACAAAACATATGTTTCTCATTTGAATCACTGATGACAGCGATGAAATGCAGCACAACTTTGCTGCATTGCAATATGATTAACAGACATTCGTAATTAAAATTTAAAACCATCAGTTGGTATAGCTGCATTTGGATCAAACTGGTAGCCTTGTTCTGATGACTGAGGCATTAATGTTGGATCTTCGTCCCCCTGCTAAAATGGAATAATACACAAAACAATTAAAATTTCAATATAGCCATAATTTTCTTTTTGAACGTTTACCATATAAAAACTTAAAGACTTACTTAGATAAACTTAAAGCTTTACGCAGATACAAAAATGCATATAATTTATATCATACAAAAAAGAAATAATTCAAAAACTAGATTTTTTTAAGAGAACATTCATTGTTATTTTGCATCACTACACATTTTACACTTGGAAAAGCTCAATGGGAAGGAAAGCTTTTATTTATGACTGTACCTTTAAATATGATAAAAATAATGATTAGAGTATATACTTACCTGTGTGCATAAATTTAGTAATGTACACTGCACAAAGAAAAGGGCGCACAGTTCTATATCTCCCGTTCTACTGGGCTGATTGACGAAATTCAACTTGTGTTTTTCATGTCTCAAAAGCGTTACTTAGGATATGTATTAGATTTACATATAGCAATTGTTTTAATATAGGTACTTTGACACAAAATCTGACTTTTTCTGAAATGACATGCCAATTTTTTTCCACATTTCGATTCTATGACTTAAATTCTGCCAAACTGCCAAGTTTTGTAAAAATCGCATGAGTAGTTTTTAAAAAATTAACTCTTAAAATTTTAGCTCCTAAATGTTAACTGAATTTGGTATATATTTGTCAATCTCTCTCTCTCTCTCTCTTTTTTTTTTTTAATTAAACTTACTTGATTGCTTCTTCCAAAATTCAAAGTTTAGGTTCATTCCAAATATAATTTGCCTATTTCTATGATTTATTTTAAAATTTGTATTTTGAAAATATTTTTTATAAATTTATTCGATAAAGCATTTTGCACTATAACCTATAAAATTTTAAACAGCATCATTAAAGTAAATATATTTCTAAAGGCACACCTGCAAAAAATTAGAGTATTCTTGTTCAACATTTTCTAAGATATACATGAATTTATATTTTGGCTCGTTCTCAAATTTGGCATATTTATTATCGAAGCGATAATAATGCAAAAATGTGATTTACGCACTTTATTACGCATTATTTGAAAGCATAAACAATGACTTTTTTTCGATCGTCTAAAAAAAAAAAAAAAAAAAAAAAGGAAAATTGGTTGCTATAAATTAAGTTCGCCAATTGAATTATTCTTGACAAAAACTGGGTAAGGGAAAGCCAATATAAATTGTTGAATTTCTCCATAAATTTCGCACCGAATTTTACAAAATTGAAAATTTAGGCATAATTTGAGTCGTACAATTGATATATGAAATAAATTGGTATGTTATTTCAGAAAAAGTCCGATTTTATGTCAAAATATCTATGCTAGAATGATGTTATATAAACTGGTGTGCAAAACTTAAGCAGCAATGTAAAAATTTAGCAGATAACGATGAAATTGCACAAAAGGAGGTCTGGAGATCAGTACAATGAACACAAAAGTCATTAGAAACGTCATGCGTATGCAAATATCAGGAACGAAACGTCAGAAGTGACGTAAGCGTACACAAAACGCGTGATGTCGGCGAGTGCAGTTCAACAGTAGAATAAAAGGAAGGACGGAGACGTAATTCAGCATATTCGCTGCAAGTGCCAGTAAGTCAGTTCGTGAAATATGGCTAGAAGAAATCACCTGAACGACTTCACACGTGGAAGAATGATCGGAAAGCTGGAGGAGAGGCGTACTGTCTCCAGTGTAGCTGCAGAGTTCGGACTCAACAAGTGTCGTTTCGTGCGCTTGGAAAGTGTTCCAAACCTCAGGCACAGCTGTTAGAAAGGTTGGTGGTGGCCGCCCGAGGACAACAACTGCAGGGGATGACCGATATATCGTCCTGCAGGAGACAGCAGTCAGCAAGCGCCATTGCTCAGCAACTCTGTACAGCAACAGGGTGACAAGTGTCGTGGTTTACTGTGGCCAGACGCCTTCACAAAGGGGGCCTTTTCGCCCGCCGTCCTGAACACTGCCTCCTGTTGAAAGTTGGCCACCGATGCCACCGTTTATAGTGGTACAGAGAGCACAAAAACTGGACAACTGATCAATGGAGTCGTGCCATCTTTAGGGATGAGAGTCGGTTCAGTACCAGAAGCGATTCTCAATGCGTTTTGATTTGGAGAGAGGTCGGGACCCGGTTTTATCCCAGTAACATCAAGGAAAGACACAGCAACGGTGGTCCTGGAGTTGTCTGGGGAGACATTATGCTGAATGGACGAACTGAGCTCCAAGTTTTCGACAGATGGTCTGTAACCGGGGATCGCTATTGTGAGGAGTTACTCCTTCCCCATGTGCGTCTGTTCCGAGGCGCCATTGGCCCAGACTTAATTTTTATGGATGACAATGCACACCCACGTCAGACTCTTGCTGTTGAGGAGTTACTGGAAAGTGAAGATATCACTTGAATGGATTTGCCAGCGTACATCCCATCGAACATGCGCGGGATACTTTAGGGACACGCATTGCAGCCCGCTTACATCCTCCAGAGAACACCCAATAACTCAAACAGATGCTGATTGAGGAATGGGCACTCCTGCAAAAATGCCTCCAACATGAAACCTTACGTTAACGACGAAACCATTTAGAGATGCAAAGTTAAAAATTGGAGAAAGAAGGAAAATCCTACTGCAAGAAATGTTACACCAGCTGGTTCTGGAGTATGCGGAGACGGCGTGACGCAACCAATGCAGTGAGGGGAGGGCATATCCCATATTAGAGTACATCTGCTTGTTGTTCTTCTCTTGGATAGACAATCATGAGTCACGATACTATGCGTTCATTAAAGCTTGTTTTTGTTTGATTCCATACCGTATGCATTGTATTCCTTTTTCAGCTCCAATGCTTTCGTCATCGTTTACGTACTTCTGTATTTCATGTCTCTCAGTTGATTTTTCGTGGAGTTATTGCAAAAACCCTGCTGTTGCTTAAGTTTTGCATACCAGTGTATATTCTAAGTTGCACTTTCAAGACATGAAAAACACAATTTGAATTTCATCAATTGGCCCAGTAGAATAGGAGATATAGAACTGTTCCCCCTTTTTTTTTGCGCAGTGTACCATGTATTCATGTAAAACAAAATTAAATATAGTTATTAAATAATTTAACAATGGTTCAAATTTTAAAGTACCATAGTCCAAAAGTGTCACCGAGATGTAGAAGGCATGCATGCTGTGAATTCTGTATCTGACAATACATCCATATTAGAACTGCTGTAACTACTACTTTCCAATTATTTAGAAATACCATCGTCATTAGTATTAGAAAATGACTCATTCGTCATATATGGCCCACTGTACAAAACACACGTGATTGTACAAAACCTAGAGACTCTCCGCCTACTTGTGCGAACTGTGAACTGGATCATGTTGTGAGTTACAGATCCTGCAGTTCCTTTCCAAAAACTAACCCTCAGGGCAAGAAATTATACTCTGAACGAGTTATAACAAACAGTTCCTGCAAGTCAAGTTCCAGAAATAATGAAATCTTGGAAGTGACTCAAAAACTAATTAAGGCAAAAGATGTTATTGCAAAACTTTTGGCAACTCTAAATATGCAACCAGCTAACTTAATTGGAAATACAACCAAAGCCCCAAAATCAGCATGATGAATAATTATCAGCGCAACTCGCACAAGCAGATTAAAATCTTATTATGGAATGCACAAAACTTAACCAAAATGCAAGAATTTCAAGATTTTGTTTGAAGGGAAGATGTGGACTTGTGTTTAGTAACCGAAACTCGTGCAACTCCAAGAAAAAACACCAGCATGGCAAATTTTTGTTCCTTCTACTGAGATAGATGGTGCCACAGAGGCGGCGGTGCAGTCATTTACATGATGCGAACTTACGAGGCATGTTGTTTACTAGCACGGACAATTCTAGAGCATACGAATATATTCAAGTCTAAGTAAAATTACCCAAGCTGGCCAAATTAACTTTTGTTCCACTTACAACCCACTGGATAATCCCTTAACAGAAAACATTCTAAGCAAACTTCTGACCAGCCAAGAACCTTGCATCATAGGACAAGACTGGAACTCCAACCATGTACACTGGGGCTGCCACAACACAAACAAAAACAGTAGAATTATACACAATTATTTGGATAGTCATCCAATATCTCTTTGTTCCGGAGGAAGCCACGTATTACCCTAGCACTCGTGGAAGATGACTCAACATGCTAGACTTCTTTCTCACTATCGTTAACAACCCAATGTCCATGGAGGTAGTCACAGATTGGATCACGTACAGTGATTGCAAGATTAGGAGGTGCCCTCCTGGGCTGCCCACCCTAAAAGAAAGTTGTGGACTGGAATCTTTTCCATAATTTAGCACTCACCACTCCTCTCATCGATGGTTCATTAAAAACAGAATCAGATATTGATGATGCAGTGCTTGACCTCCAATTAACCTGACTTCCAAATTACAGGATTTTCTGCCTAATGCTACCTTAACCACCAATATCAAATACTCAGATGGCACTCTACCCATGTTTACCAGAGAAATCGTTACCCAATGCAACAAGCTACATAAGACGTACAGCAGAGATTGGAATCCTGAAACAAAAACGGAAATCAATAGGCTTACGAGAAAGATCAAAGCTCTTCCCCTGGAAGAGATAATATCACGGACAGACTGCTGAAGAATTTACCTCACTGTGTCATCACCAAGCCTTACTGGAATCTACAATGCTTGTCTCTCATGCTCTTAACCTCACTCACCTTGGAAGCAGGCCAGTATATTCACGATACAAAAGCCAGGGAAGCCTCTTGACAAACCAGCGAGTTATAGACCAATAAGTCTCGTATCAATGATGGGAAATAAAAACAGCACAGCTATCTTTATGCTAGATGTGGATAATGTATATGTCACATGCCTGTCCCAAAATGGTTAAAAGAAATATGATCTTGTTTAGTGACCACACTTATTGAAACAGCATAGTTTTTAAAACTAACTACTTCTGATGAAATATCAGAAGAATTAAAATTATTTGCACATTTACATTAAAAAGCTACTCCTTTATAAATATTTAAATGCAATAAAATTAATTCTTCACAAGTTAGAAACTAAAAATTCTCTCATTTCGACTATGAAAAAAATCATTTTCTGATAAGGTTCTTCTATAAAGTAATTCTTCATATAATCTTGTTGTTCAGAGGCTCATATTCAGAGTAAAAAATCTGGTTTAGGACAACACATTTTATTTAAACAAATAATGTATGAAAAAGTGCACACAGTAAATCATATTGACCACCACACAGCATACTATATCACTATCTCTGTACGCTCGAATGATGATGTGTTGGGAGAAGCGCCCACTGTGCCACTACAATTAACACGCATGCATATAAGAAAAAAAAAGTTTGCTCGCCTCCACCCAACACACCTCTCCTGCGAGCAAAATTTTTTCAATACGAAAATGAAATACAAACAATATATACCACATTACATTAAGAAATTAAAGAAATGATTTTTATTGTATACATTAACTTTTCTTCACTGATACTCTTAGTAAGAAAATCTGCAATCATATTATCAGAATATTCCAATTTAATGACACTGTCTGCTAAGTCCTTCATAAAATGGAAACCTAAGTTCATGTGTCTGGATTTTGTAGATCTGGCACAGTTGACCCACTGGATAGCAGCTTGACTGTGTCTAACACCACTGCACAATTCAAAAATTGCTTACATTTTAATTTTGATAATAAATTTACAGTTCAAATAATATCCTTACAAAAGTACTAAATTAATTGCTTCTGCCCAGAACTTTACCAGAAGCTCACTTTCATATAGTAATAATATCCTAGCTCTTTCCAAAAGTTGCACATTTTTTTCACTCAGTTTGCATATTCAGCCCTCCCATTACTTTCACTAGTATATGGAATTGTTTTTTCATGAAAAATACCAGAATTAGCAAGATAATTTATCTAACTGTTCATTTACAAATTCTAAACCATTCTCTGTTTTCAAACATTTAACTCTTTTATCAGTTAAATTTTCATATTTAGCTTTAAATTTAGAAAATGCATCAAATACTTCATTTTTACTTTTAAGAAAATAAGTAAATTACATTAAAAAAAATCATCCACTAAGATCATAATATTTAGACCCACCAATTATTCAGTTTGAACAGGACCACACAGATCCCAATGAATTAATTCTAAAATTTCTGAACTCTGATTAATGTCAATATTTGGGTGACCTTTTTCTAGTTATTTTATTTACATCACAAGTTTCACACTTAAATTCACCTACATTACTAATATCAATGTATTCTTTCATTTTAAGCATATATTTTGGATTAAATGGCACAATCTATTATGGCAAAGTTCATATTTATTACCAGTACAATCATTAGCAAATGCAATATCCAGAATTATAATATGTTTCTAAATTAACTTCAAGCTTGCCATTATTCTTAAATGCTTTAAAAAGTAATTGATTACACCTACTAAAAACTAATACAGAATTATTCTTCGATTCAATTTTACATCTTTTATCCATTAAGGGCAGTGTGTGAGAGTAAATTATTCCTTAAATCAGGAACAGGAGCTAACATTACTAATAGTTAAATTAACAGAACTAGAATTCTTTGTACTTACAGTTTTTTGCTTTAACAGTACCGATACCCTCTGACAATATTTTTGAATGTTTGCCTCTTAAATCTCCCTTGCCTCTGATGCACTATTCTGAAACTAAAACTACTCTTTTGCCATGTGTTTAGTTGCACCACTATCCACCAACCATAGATTGTCATACTCATAATGTTTTCCATGCGCAAGTTGAAAATATCTTTCTCTTTCACCAGAATTCTAATCATTAGCCGACTCATGCAACTTCATTTCTAAATTTTTTAACTCATTACTGGCATCTATTTTTTTTTATCTTCGGCTCGCCCCACAAATGTTGATTTTTCTCCCAAAGTATTTTTGCGTTCTCTTCTGCAGCAAACTGAAGCACCTGTTGATCCGATAGTGAAACTTTTATATATTGTCACATTTTTCTCCTTACGTTAAGGGTTTATGGATTTGGAGTGAATAACAAATGCACTTGATGAAGTATCAAAACACAATTCATTAGCCAGTATTACTCAGGATAGCTCAAAAATATCGTTTACAGTCATCGAAGAACTACTATAAACACATTGAAACAATCAGACACAGAAGAATTCAGGCTATAATAAAGAAGACAGCTTCACGGCAAAGCACCAGAGTACAGCTCCTAACTCTGCTCGGTCGATCTCAGAACTCTACGTACCCCCCCGAGACTCTCCATGCTACAACTCGCAATGCACTCAACGAAACACTAGAGTAAAACTCCCGACTCTGTTCGGCTGTTCTCGGAGTTCAACAGACTCTATGATAAAACTTGATGATGCACTAACTTGCGATACACTGAGACTTTCTCGATGCACTCGACGACCAACTCGGCACTAGACTATGAAACATTCACTTACTGACTCGCGATCAACTTGCTAGACGATCCACTGATTGACTCTCCGCATACCAGCACAGTTTATATAGTTTTATGCTTGTGTTCCACGAACATTCTGGGCTAAACTAGTAAGAATTCGTTCCAGAAGGTTCTCAATCTGTCTACGGCATAATGTCAATTTTGTTCTCCCAAATGGGGGATTTCTCACCAAACATGGCAACCTTGCCTTCCCTTGCCATTTTCTGGCAACTCTAAACCTGCTTTGCGGGGAAGCTATGTTACTGCGCCTGGACATTTCGTAACAGTATGCTACGGCATCAGCATTTTTCTCATTCCACATTTCTTTCATTTTTCTCGTCTAAGTTTTCTCATTTTATATTTGAAATTACTGAGTCGAGTCTTTTCAATGATAAGGCAGGTTTATTCGATGCCCATATAAAATAGTTGTGCCCAGTTAATTCTGGAACATTCTATTACTCCATCTCTGGCTTTCAGGAAGTCAATTTCGATTTCTATTTTACTTCCAAGTCTTCTTGATATTAGCATGGACCTGCTACCATTTGTTGTTCAGGGATTCATAGACAGAGTAGAGAACCCATCGATTTCGAACAACACACTATTTAAACAAATACTGAATGAAAAAGAGCATAGAGCAAATCATTTTACATCCAAGTCTTCTTGATATAACCATGGACCTGCTACCATATGTTGTTCAGAGGTTCACAGACAGAGTAGAGAATCCATCGATTTAGGACAACACTATTTAAACAAATAATGAATGAAAAAGAGCACATTGATATCACACAGAATATTATCTCACCATCTCCATATGCTCGAATGACAGATTTGTTGGGAAGAAGCAACTGCTGCGCCAACATTATTAATATGCATGCAGGTAAGAAACAAAAGTTCACTCGCCTCCACATAACAAATTTGATTTATTTACCTTCCTTTTTCAGTTCCTTTCATACTCTGTCTATGTTAAAAATTTATTTACCTTAAAAAAAAAAAAAAAAAAAAAAAAAACTTTAAATCATTAAATTATTTACCTTTAAATCTTTAAATATTTTCACATTTTTTAAAAATATTTTCACTCAAATTCCATGAAGAAAGAAATATTCCTTCTATTATGTTTGCTCATTTAATTCAGTTTGCAAAACACATAAAGACTATTTTTCTAAGGAAACTTTTGGGGAGGACAATCTAGAGAAAGCCGGTTACTTTACACATAGAAAAAAACCACGAAAACACACATACAGCTAAGCCATTTGCCAGGATTTAATATTAGGTTATACTTTCTGTTAACGGTGTTAATTTGCTTACATAGCAGAGTATTTTTTTTTTGTATGCTCAACTCTTCAGGTTTCAGTTATTTCTTTTTCTCGCGATATTAAATTCCCTGATGAAGTACGTAAAATTTTAATATTCGATGTTATTAAATTAACCCATCATGATTTTTCATTTGGTTCCTTACACACATTTGAATTTTGAATAAGGTAATTAAAAGGAGCTGAAAATTACATAAAATACATTAGTAAAATACTTACATTAAAACACTAAATCATAAACAGTTAAGTTTTTTTGGTTTCAGCTGATTAAGGGAAAGCACACAAATGTTTGAACAAGCGCTTTTTAATGCCTTAAATGTGCTACTTTAAAACAGTGCTTCTTAATATATTTCTGAAATGAAAGTTAGTGATCATAATTGAATTTTTAAATGGATTTCTAAAGTTTCACATCTAATATAGCACCTCTCTTTGCCATTCATCAGAGGCAACTACCTCACCCTTGTCACAGCTTTGCTTTAATGCTATCTATCACAGTAGAAATTTATCCTAATTAGAAGAAATAATACCTTTCCAAAAACCATGTGAATTTTTCTAACATTAAGAAACTGACAAAACAGTATCGCAAAAAAAGGAGGGGGGAATCACACAACGTACCTCAGCCAATAAAAACTTGAAAGTTACGACAGCATTTTACTGCATATGGTAAAAAGAATAAACAGAAAGTGATATATACAAATACTTACATCATCAGAAAAGTACTGATCTATGATCTCATATGCTAATTTATATATATCTTCATTTTCATGATTTTGTAATGCTTCAATTTTATCTAAACCTTTGAAAGAAAGAATTTCTCTATATAGATAGATGGATATACACATGCATACATATGCATTTAGATATACATTACTTATGAAATCATAAATGCACATAATCACAAAAATTGGGTAATTAAAAACATGCAATAAACACAAAAATAAATGTTATATAAAATACATGTTTATTTAAATTCAATATTTTCACTACAATAGAATCAAGGACAAAAAAATATATGCAAAATTAATTAATAATATTGATTCACAGAAATTTTCACAAAACATCTCGTATCTTAAGTTTACAAAAGTAAATTTTCACTTGAGACTACGTTTCTGATGGAGAGATCACAGACACCTAGAACTGCATCATAACTGATACTGCATTTAGCATGTAAGGAAATTAGAAGTACAAAAATAATACTTTAATATTCTCCATGTAACTGATAACAGGAGGAAGTAATTATTAAATGATCATATTCTAACAAACCAAAGCATTCAAAGGAAAGTAACAAATTCATTTCATTAATTTATATTTTGAAGCTAATAAGATGAAATTAATGTAGCAATAAAAATTTTGTTACTTTTTGATTATTTGCACCCTCAACAAAAAGTTGTGAAAAATTATTCATGAGACAAAGCAGTATGCCAGCAAAACAGTTATGTGGCAACCCACGATATCACTAAAAGTATGTATGTGCCAGTGAAGGTATATACCATGTGTGTTTCAATCAATGTGCAATACCAATGACGAACAATTCGCTAAAGTTTTCTGAAGAGAAAACAGATCACCGTGTAAATGTGGAGAACAGCAGTGGGGGGGGGGAAGGATTTCTAGAAAAAGGTATTTTTATTATGATTATTTCTTGCTTTTTAAATTTTAGTGATTGATTGGAGTTCTAAATGTGCTGCCTTTTTGAAGATGGTTGTTGTCTTTCGTGTTTAGCATGCCGAAAAATTAGTCGCCCCACTTTTTAGTAGCCGCCACTAACGACTTCCCTTTTTTCTAGGTTTGGAGATGTGTGGATAATTATTAAATACCAAAATTTAAAATATGCTTCAAAAAGTGGACAAATACTGTCGCATGCATGTTTTTGCTTACGTCAAAAGGGCGAACTTGGAGTCATTTAATAACAGTTAAATGTGTGCTTCATTTACAACACCCAAAAGTAAAGAATTCAGGAAGAAAGAGGTGGAATAAATTATTTTATAATAAAAAAAACTTATGGGCAGTGTGAAATAACAGATCTTACAGTGTATTACACAGTAACACATACACACACACATAAACAGGACATATCAAATCACTAGACATTAAAAAAGTGTGTAAAAATAAATGAATTACTGTATACGGATCTTTTGAATATGTCCAATAAAGCAGTGCTCAAAATAATGTTCTACCGAAGCAGAGAATTAGCAGTTTGTTTTATCACAGTTTCATATGGAGACACAGATAAAAACATGCATAGCCTAAATGTAAGTGACACAGCCAACAATTCTCATGCAATATTCTGAAGAGTTTGGTTATCTGAGGTTGCAGTGGCAGATTGTTGCTGGCTGAATTCCAAGTAAGTCATGTGGCACCACAGCTACCAAGTAGTGTTCATGAAACTGCAAAAACAGCAGGTCTACTAAATTCATCAGTATTGTAGATCTTGGCATGGTATATTGTATAGCATCTCTACAAGTTTTATGAAATCCCATGTGTATACCAGTGTAGCATAATCCTCACCTGGATCAGAAAATGTTATCTACTGCTTCGATGGATCTAGATATGCCCACTGCATTGATTGGATTAATCATGTTTGTTAAACTTTAGTTTCTGCAACATATTACGCACTTAATAGTATAAGTAACAGTTACAGCATTTTAGAAGGCTTTATTCAATTAAATATGAACACAAAATAGTTTCAACTAAGAAGTCCTCCACAAAGGAATCCTTTATCAAGGCAGATAGCAATCGTGTGCTTTGCCAGATAATCAAACTTAATATCTTACACTGAATGTCATTCACAAGGTAGTCAGACAATAGAGCACTATCTGTTAATGAAATTTTTCAGTTTGTTTATTTTTTTTTTAAAAAAAAGTCTGATTCATGATATAAATTTTGGGGCAAACAATTCAATTTCTAAGAGATTGTAAAAACGTAATGATTTTGACCCAGACTGTAAAAATGCAATAAAAATAAAAGTAATTAAGGATGTATAAAAATTCTACCTTGAATGAAAGAAAATACAAGAATTCTACAGAAATGCCTGTATCAGATCATCAATACATACAACAATAAAAGGGTAAGAATGGAATGCCATGGAATTCATGGTAAGAATAAATGCCATTGCAAACTTAATAGTTATTGAATGGTAGACTTCAGTAACTGCAAAAGCATCTTTTCCAGAATTTCACTTTCTGCACAGTACAACAGAAAGCTAGTTTCTACCATATTAATATTAATGAGTTTCACATTAAAAATGGCATATGTGAGTGATAGCAGTCAAAAGAATGTTTTCAATTCCCGACAAACCACTTCAGTTTCCAATACATAATTTAGATAGGGGAAGGTCATCTAACTGAATTAGTTTCTGGTTCTGGTGATAGTATTCTCGAGTGCTAGTTCTAGAGCTGTGAAAGGAATTAGTGATCAGGGTTTCAAAAATATAATTTTTTCTCCTAAAACATAATGATGAGTTCTAGCAACATAGTGCTTTCACAGAAAACAATACTAGTCGAATTCTGAGTGCCTCTTATGCAGCATTGGTTAATAAAGCTGAATAACTTAACACACAAATCTCATGGACTACCATTTTGTTCAGACGAGGGCTTTGTGATCATAAGAGATATAAGCAAGCTTTTTTGCTAAGAAACCAGACTTTGCTCTGTCCAGAAACTGGTTTAAAGTTTTAACCTACAAGTTCCAACTTTCCCATGGCAACTTTGAATAAGAAGGAACCAACCATAGCAATTCAAACACGAACTAACGTTCAGTCAATGGTTTCAGCAAGTCACCTGCACATTTGTGCAATTTTAGCTTTCCTAATTGATTAATGTTTAAACCGTCTTATACATGTATGAATAGACACAAATAACTTTTATGCCTCAAGCCACAAAGCCCTCATCTAGACAAAGCCTAACTTTAACAGATCAAAAGGAAACCATTGTTATGTTACTTCAAAAGAAAGAAAATAATTTGAATGCCCTAAAAACCTGATGTACTTAGAAAAAAATTGCTCTTCCATGTCTGCTAATGCAGTGGGTGTTTCATTTGAAACACTGAAAGCAACAGCTTGTAAGGATTTATAAATTTATTTTTAACTAATATTTAATTTTAGACAGTATTCTGGCTAGTTGAAGACACATTGTTACTGTGACTTAATAGCGATTTGATTCTGTGGTATTGAGTGCTTCTAGCCATTAGGCTTTTCTCGTCGGTTTTCTACAAATAAAAGGGTCTTGTACACCCTTCTTCTGAATTCTGTTATCATAAGACAAGAAGATAATTAATTCTTCTATAGCCCGTTTAAAGTCCAGAAAAATCCTTCCTAGGAATACTAGACTTTATACACTGACTACCAATAAGTGTTTGGACACCTATGCAAATGACGATATCTGCGGTCCTAAGGTATGTCACGGACTCCAACGGTATATATCGTGTAGGAAACAGCATCGGCTTTAGTCGCATGCAAGATGCCTCATAGTTCGGAGCTCTATGATTTCGAGAAAGGTATAATTATCGGGTATCACAAATGTGGCCGATCCTTAAGGGACATATCTAGTGATCTGAAGTACCCAAAATTGACAGTGGCCTATGTGATTAAGAAGTGGAAGGTGAGCGATGATTGTCAGAATGTGCCCCGAGTCGGCAGACCAACGAAACTGGGAGATAGAGACCGACGAGTGCTGTCCAGAGAAATTCGGAAGAACCGCCCCCAACTGATGGCCCTCATATGCGAGGAGTTTCAACAGGCATCCGGGAGTATTGTTTCAATGAATACCATCCATAAGGAAGCACATCTGCTTGGTTTTCATGATCGTGCTGCTGCCCATACGCTATGATCACAAAGTTCAACCGCGCTGCTCGGTTAATGTGGTGCAAAGAACATCCAAATTGGACCGTAGATCAGTGGAAACGGGTTCTTTGGAGTGACAAATCAAGGTTCAGCCTTTACTGTTCGGATGGCAGGGTCTGGGTCTGGCATTTACCTGGAGAACGTCTCCTGCCAGAATGCATTGTGCCAACAGTCAAGTTCGGAGGAGGTGGAATTATGGTCTGGGGTGTTTCTCCTGGTATAGGCTGGGAGCCTTAATCTCCATTCATGGTAGGCTCAACTCCGATGCCTACTGCACTATTTTGGATGACAATGTGCTTCCTACGTTGTGGCAGTTTTACAGGTTGGACCCCTGTTACTTTCAGGACAACAATGCCAGTTGTCATGTTTCGACGTTAACCAAGGCTTGGTATGGTGCCAATGGAGTTCATCGAATGGACTGTCCTGTCCAGAGTCCAGACCTGAACCCTATCGAGAACCTCTGGGACAAGTTGCATTGCCGAATTCAGGGGTGCACTACCCGTTCAAATTGGTGAAGGAACTTTTATGTCTTCTCCAAGCCAAGGGGAAGAAAATATGACTAGCTGTCATACAAAGACTTGTGGAAAGTATGCCCCGGAGGGTCCACACCGTAATTACCTCTCGTGGAGGCTCTACCAACTATTGATTTTGAATAAAGTTAGTTTTTCTTTTCTATCACAGGTGTTCAAATACTTACTGGTAGTCAGTGTATAAGCTTACAAGCAAACATACATTCATATAGGAGAAGAACTAATTTAATAACGACAAAAATTTGGTGATAGTAGTAGAAGCTAAACTGCTACTACTTAGGCTGCCCCAATAAAAAATAAAGTACAACTGATGGAATAACTATAAACACCAAACCAGCAGAAGACTGCTTTTTGTTTTATAATAAAGCAAAAGAAATTGATGCAAGTATTGGCGAGTTTGAACTCAATTCATGTATATGTGAATGATTT